AAATGCCCGTACATTATTCACGTTTCGCGCTGGAATTCCGCCGCGACGTCGAGTATATTATTCCGGGAACGGAGCCGTTTTTATTTCTCGAAAAAACAAAATCGGAAGCCCGCGCGTGGATTGCCCTACTTCGGCGCGATAATTAGAATCTAAGAGAAAATTGTTGGAGCCCGGAGTGGCGCTAAAAGAGTGTAATTAACAACGGAGCGGTTTGTCCTCGCTTCGCTCCTCCGAGGGACGAAAATTCGTCGCCGACTCCTGCTAATTCCTGTCATTACGGGATTCGTTAAAAAGGCCCAGGTGGGAGACGCGACGGAATTAATTAAATTCTAATCGATTATACGGGAATTCAGCGAGTTTCGCGTGGATAGCGAAGGTACTGTGGTAGTACCTACCGCGGTCTACCTTCATTTGCATGACATGGTGGGCGCGGAGCTTCGCCTAAAAACAAAACCGACGAGAGAGCAAAAAAAAACTCGCGGTATCTATAATTCCCACCGAGCATAATAGCCTCAGTAATCATTTTGATATAAAACATTTGTTAACAACCGAGCTAGGGTATTATTTAGGAGTGCATTTTGAGTGAGTTTTTTGCGACTTTCATCCTCGGTAGGTGTATGAAATATATCCCGACGTACCGCACCTCGATTTCACTGAAACCTACGGTACAGCAACGTACTCGATTATTTTATATTTTACTCCCATCATTGGTCAAATTCGAAACATTTTTCTAAAACTATTACTTCTTCGTAATCATTATCTTCTTCTAATTCCATGTAATGTTCTACTTAATCATTATATTTAGGGTTGTATTTTATCTGCAATAGTAGTTTTTCCCCTTGCGTGAAGAAACAAATTGGTGAAGAAAACTAAGCTTTGTGCTCTCGCTAGCCAGCGAGCCAAATTGATGAAGACTAATGATGGTTTCATTGAATAATATCCTAAATTGTATTTGCTGCTAACCCGATGTGGATCAATTTAGTCGGTAAAATAAACAAGCTTGTCGCCGTGAAAGCGATGACTGGTCAAATTCGGGTCGAATTAGTCGAAGAAACTGCTATTTTATTGATATAAATAGTGAATGTACAATGAGGGTACGATGCGAGTGGTAGGAGAAAAGTCGCTGTATTGTTAGAAACCGAATATATTATGTAGATGCGGTGATGAGAGCCGTTGAGAAGTGTTTTCGAGATATATCCAAACAGTTTTTAACGGGTTTAAAATTATTTGAAAAACACCTCGACTCGAATGGAACGGATTGTATGCTAAAGAGGCGCGCTTTGAAGTGTATTAATACGAAATTACAAACGGAATATATGATGATTTTTTCCCAGTAATACGCCAGTTTCTACCTGATAGTAGGTAGAAATATAAAACGAAATGCTAATAGCATCAAATATATCACCAAACCGCAACTAAATCGACTAATTTGTACACTTCCAATCGAACTGATGAATACCGAGAACTCATCAGCGTTTTCCGTACCCCGAAAAAATTCTTCGAAAGATCATTTTAATTAATTAAACGGCCGATTTCCGCGGCATCGGCGATTATTTCGGGAAGCAAATCGCCATCCCGCTGGACGAATCCGGAGACAAGAACTCGCTTCCTCGTTCGTCCATCGGGACCTCGAGCACCGTAAATTAGGATAAGTTTCGAAACCGCATCACGTACCGCACAAGGGCCACAGCGATATTTACTGGGTCAAGATAGGAAGTATCCTTCGCGAAGGATCCGGCCGTGTATCAACCTGTGGGTCGTCTACGTGCCAACGGGAGCCACTCGAGCCATATCTACAGAGCGGTACTTGGTGTAAAAAAACTTTTTCCCGGACGCATTGAATTAGTGAGATACATTCGAAGCAAGCGTAGGCGTGAATTTATTGGTATAATTCGTTTTGGAATCGGATTTAATACTTCGAGCGCCATCTGGTTGAAGATACAACAAGTTTTATATACAAGGATCGATCTGGGGATATGAGACAAAATTGGTAGTAGAAGTGATATAATTTATTTGTAGCAACTTTATTAGTTGTATCTCGTTTATTTATTAGTTTTATTGTATTTATCATTCACATCTACGATTCTCACTTCCTTGTTTTAACACCAATTTTTCTATAGTTCATCATCTTTAACTGCTCTTTTTTATTGCACATCTTCTTTGTAGCAACATAATTGCAACCCTTGCGCTTCATATTACCAATCCTCATTTAATATCTTACCGGGATAATTTATCAACAACCTCTATATCTATTAACTAGTACAATTCGAGGCTCGACAATTATTCTTATTCCCCTCGTGGACGGCCCACGGTGCAGCGCCTTCCGGTGTCCCGGACGCCCATTACGTTTCGAATTTTTTCCAACCACAATAGCCCTAATTAATCTTTCTTTCAGTAGCGGGCGCCACCTATGGGGATAATTAAGTTTTCGAATTCGAATTTCTTATTTCTTTTAATTGCGTTTCGAAATTTAATTCGAGCCGAGTGGATGGATGCCGTTTTCTTGGATTTTTTTTTTTGAAGCGTTCGAGGTTTCGTTGTTTGTGGTTATTACGGTCGGGTTGTCTTGTGGGTTATATTTTTTTATGCGGTGATAAAAAATTGTTTCAATATCGACGGTTTCAATTTGTGATGGTGGTTTTTAATTACCTGCATAACTACGATAGATATAATTAAATGATTAAGTACACACTACATTAGGTTTCTTATTAGTAGTGACATATCTGCTATCAGTATTCGATATGTTACAAAGTTACTGTAAATTACAAAAGCCCTTTGAGATGCAAATTGTGTGGATATACATAAAGGAAAAAAAAAATTGAATATCCATCCATCCGCCCGAAAAAAAAGAGAGGTATCACTTTAACAAGTCCTGCATAAATTCTAATTACCATCTGTCAGACGGACAAAAATATTAAAACAAGTTAATTTCGTTTTGCTGCAGGAAGTCCCGCTCCAATTTCGCACCATGTGGCGAATTTTAATTCCGTAACGAATTACGAAATCGTCAAAAATCGCGAAGGAAACGCGGCGCTGCGATTGTCGTAAAAATAAATTGAACAATTTCAACGCGCCACTCGGGGTTGATGAAGATCCTTCGACCGGTGGAAAAGAAACAACAAAAAACAACGATCCTATTTAGAAATTATTCTCGCTTTTTTCGACGGATTTTAAAGGACGTTTTCTACATTGAAAGTGTTAACAAAATGGATCTAACAGATAAGTAGAAGCTGTAAAAATTTATATAAATGCATCAGCACCAGGTTCCATCAAGCCATTTATTAATAAATCTGGTGGAGATGTGACCCATCTTTTGGAACAATCTGGTGATAAAATTGAGCTCACTTGTACGAATTAAAATACTTCATTGTATTAAATCTGGTTATTATATAAACCACAGTCCTCTATCTGCATAGAACGATCTTCATAAATGTTGACAGGGGAAATTTGTTGGAGCCATTGGCGAGTTAGTTTCCGATTATAAATAAAGAAAATATGACTCACGAGGCGTCATTGTTCGGAGTAATCCGGGTCGATATCAATGCGATCTGTTCCATTACAATTCAACGACTTACATCAGCATAATTGAATGCGCTGGAAAGGTAAACTCGAAATCGCATTATGATATCGCTTCATATCTCCGCCAGCGCGATTCCCATCAGAAGGGGTCGCTCCCGTCGTGGTTGGATTCGAAAGAGAAAAAAAGCGTTACATTAATAAACACTTGAAATACGATCCCATCGCGAAATGTCATTCACGATTATGCAAATGGAGGTCGGGCGGGCGACGATGCTGTTGGAATATTTTTTCCATCCTGAACATCCGATGCTCTTCGCCTAAACTTGCGTAAGCCGACGTAAATGTATTAATTCCCGCCCTAAATGTATCAACTACAGTTAATTTCGTTCGGTTATTTTCTTTCTTTTCGTGTTAGCGAACGTCCGAAATGAATAATAACTAGAAACGCTGCCTGCAATTATAACGCGTTTAAAATTTCTATGTTGATATTTTAAACCTATTTCTTTGATGTGTTAATTAGACAGAAACGAAATAAAGAACGACCGCTTTATTATTAGCTGCAGGTATTGTTAGGTCGCGAGGAGCAGGACCGTATTTCCGCCTGGTAAATTGTCTCGGACCACACGAGCACCACAATGCACACTTTCGGGCCGTTTCCAGCGCGTACCGAGCTCGGCAAAAAATCGGATAAAACGAACGAAAAAAAATCCGCTAACAATGACGCCGTGACTGCCATAAATCGGGCGTATATGGTGCTCTCTCGAATGGTGGCCTTCTGTGCCTTTCGCAAAACCGTACGTGAGCATAATTAAGCCAGTAACGACCTTTGTCAACGGGTTATACAGTCAAGAATCGCATGATATACGCTGGACGTAATGCTGCAATACATAAACCTTCTTGTGATACAATTTATTGAGATTGAGCAGGTAGGCAAAACATAATTGGATGGGAACATAAACTTAAGTAATGTATACATGTTGTGTTGTTGGAGATATTTTATGTGTAACGATTAATTGCATATTTTGTTTAAAAACAATCCAATTGGTGCGTGTATGATGGGCATGGAATAATGTAAAAGCCTTTTTGGGTGTCACGACTTAGCTAAATGTAATGATTTACTTTGCTTTGATAAACTTCGTCTACGTACATACACGTTATATATCTCTTTTAGTCGATGTAATTACCACTAGAGAGATTTATTTCGGGAAATTCAGAGCACGGCTATAGTCCCATGTCGATTATTTGTTAACAAGTATTAACGGGAACGTCGATGTTTGCTTATGAATATTCGCTTATTTGTGGATATGTTTCCCCAGATACGTTGCTCTATGGAAAAGATAAACAGAAATCATTGATATTATATCGCGTATTTCGGAAAATATCCTACGCCGAGATTAGGTTGGTATTTATATTCAAATTTAATACATTAATTTTCTCCATTGATGTATTCATTAGATTTCTGTTGGCAACGTATGTACCATGGAGATAACATTTTCAACCTAACCTCGTTATAATTACAAAAACGTCAAATGTAACAAATTCAAGATGAAGTAAACTAATAGTAGCACAAATTATGCTAATAACAATCATTTCTGATGAAGATTTGGAGGAGCGATTGGATAACTTAGATGAAAATAAGCTTGCGATTGTCGAATTTATGAGTCCTTATTGCGGATTATGCCTATCGATAGTAGAACAGCTGCAAATCATGTCCGTTGTGCACGAAACTGTTCGAAATTTCGAAATTCCGAAAAAATAATTGTCTAATCAACTCCATTACAGGTGGTGTTTTTGACAGCCGATACAAAATTGTGCGAAAGAAACGTAGATAAATACGGAATCGCCGTGATACCGATGTTCGTCGCCATAAAGCAAGGACAGTGCATCAAGAAAATAATAGGAGCAAACCTGAACGCCGTGGAAGAAGTAGTAAAAACCAATAAATAAACGATTCCATTCAATTTTACAACGTACAAGCGACAGGAAGCAATCGAATACGAACCCTAAACTGCGAAATAACGCGAAATACACATCTCCCGAGTTTCGGGCACCCTTCATAATCATGATTTGTCTTCGGAAAGGGAGGAATATCCTTACATTTGTTTCGTATCAAGACGCTTTTGTGGCTACACACAACTCAATTAGTCCATCTGCAAGTGATTCTCCCTTAGAGAAATGGCATAATACAAGCAGCGTCGCGCCGTAACATCCCCCAATAAAATCCACCACCAAACTAACATCAGCTTTTTAATTACAACGTTCTAAACGCGTTCGATAGCAAGAGTAGATTTCGTTGATGATATCGATGTATTAGTGGTGGTAATAGAGTGTGGTGCAACCCCTAAAATCGCAGGATTAGGATGTTTTCGAGGACGCCACTGCGGGTTGAAGCTGTCTTGGCAGCTGGTTAGATGTTTCGCGACTCCCCTTTCATATCGGTTACGCGCCGCTTGCTCGAATGCACCCCCGCGCTGTCGTTCCGTCAACCCGTTTTGGCACTTTGCAGTCCCGAAGTGGATGCCGCCGGCGCCGCCGCCGCCTCTCCGGGGCGGCGCAATATGGTAACGCAACACCCCGACTTTTATCTGATTAAAGTTGTCTCTAATAACTCAATAAATACATCTCGAGAGAGGATGAGAGGAAAATTTAACGACGCTAGTAGCAAAAAAGGGCTCGAAGCATGCCGGTTGCATTTTTATTTTCTCGCCGGGTTTGGCGGGTTTGTCAGTCAGCTCGTTAGTGGAAGTTTTCTTGCCCGTTTCCCTCGAAAGGAGAACCACTTGTGCGGACACTTTACATCCCAAAACACGTGTACACAAGATATAATATTCACAACTCCGTTCGGACTCGGTTCTTTCGGTAATTGAAGCGTTCGTTTGGAGAATTCGAGCAACTAGAGCGAGCTTAGTTTGTTCGCGAACCAAACGAAAATAAAAAAAATAGTGTGCATTGGGAAAAAAAATATTTATTTCGAATAGAAACAAACTAATCTTTGTGCATTCTGCCGATATGCTTTGTCAAACTGTTGTTGAATCGGAACAAAGCGCGGCAAATATCGCACCGAAATTTCCGCTCGCCGGTGTGCGTGACCAAATGGGTTTTCAGATGGCCGGACTGCGAAAAGCTCCTCTCGCAAATGCCGCATTTGAATTTCTTCTCTCCGGTGTGCGTCAATCGATGTTGCGTTAAATGTTTGTTTAAGTAGAAGGCTTTGTCGCAGGCGTTGCATTTGAACTCCTTCCGGCCGCTGTGTTTCAATATGTGCCTCTTCAATTTGACTTTATCGTCGAATGGTTGATCGCATTCGTGGCACGTATAGCGTTTAGCGGCGTCGAGGACGCATAAATGGTTTTTCAAATCTCGCTGTGCCGGGAAATTGCGTCGGCAAACGTCGCAATTATAACGTTTGTGAATGTCGCGTTTAATTGAGCGAGTTTTCGAATTAACGTTGCACTTTGGCCGGGCGACTGCGGCTGTTTCCGTCGTCGAATCGTCTTCGTCGGCGGTACAATTGCATTTTCTATGCGACTTTGCGCGTCTTTTGTTCGTTCCGAGTTGTTCGCGCTCTCGTTTTATGACCGTTTCGATTCCGTAGTCGAAATTATCGACGCTCTTGAGGCAATCGATGAATTCGGAATCTTCGTCGCTGTACTCGTGCTTTATTTCCACTTTAATCCAATCTTCTTCCATGCTCTTGCTCTTCGTTTCAAGAGAGAACGTCCGGATGTATCTAATGAAAATTTGTTACGTTATACAGGTTGATTCATTTTAGTTTGCAATATACAGTTGGTGCAAAACAAATATCAATGCGCGTCACTACTGTCGTCATACTTGCCAAATATTGTGACAAACTTTTTACAATAAATGCACAAAATAGATTTGTTTCGCACCAACTGTATAATGGTTTAGTTATCTACTTAAAAAATGGGGGGTAATGAGGGTGAGGTTTTATTAATGGGTTGAGTAAAATGTATTGCAAAATGTTCGTGTAAATATATTTAATAAATTACAGAAGTGGTTTTAAAAACCAGTAAAATTAATAGAGGGAACGACTTAAATAAAAAGTGAAAATTTTGGAACATTTTGCTATCAACAGATTCCAAAATTTTGGCTTTTCATTCCAGAAGCACACTTTGTAATAAAATAAATAAATAAATAAAATTTACTTATAAAAAGACTTTCTGTTATACATATCATATTTTATATTGTTATGTAATATGTAATAAAAATATACTATCACCTACTTTTTTAAATAATTAATGTGTTATAAAAAATTGCTATCTGTACAATATGTTTGAACCAGAGAGAAGAGATTTATCGAAAGAGAGAAATAAATAATGCCATAAACAAATCAGAAATACTATACAACATATTCTATTCGATACATTTTAAAATGCTAAATCTCACTGTTCAAATTATTAATAGTAACTGAGTAATATATTGTTTAATTAAAACGTTTCAAGCTTCGTATAATACAAGAAAATAAGATTCTATTAGCATGAGAAGCGTGAGGATTAATACAAAAATATTGAGCACAAAAGCATCGGGTACTTACAATTCACTCAAATTGTTTAAGATTAAAATCTCGCTCATAAACCATCAATAACAACACAGAAAAATACCAAAAATTAACCAGTTTACATTAACAAAACAAATTTTAAGGTTAAATTATAATCGACATCGAACCGAGTCTCGCACATCGAAGCGAAGTGTAGAGATGGGCATATAACTGTAACCCAAATAACAATTTTATTCAAACACTATTCACTACAAATACCTCAACGAACTACATCACACATTTCCTCCTCTTTAACATTCAACGATTTCGAATCCGACCCTGTCTTCTGCTCCCCATCGCGATCCTTCCTCACCTTCTCCGAGCCCCCATCGTGCGACGCCAAATGCCTATCCAAAGTGGCAGCACTGCTGAAAATCTTAGGACACGATTCGCACCGATACCTCATAAAATCCGGCTTGTGCTTGAACTCGTGCCGCTTCAGATTGCTCAAACTGGCGAAGCTGGCTCGACATTCGCCGCAATCGTAGGTCACCGTCGAGCTGTGCTCCAGCTCGTGGTAGTCCAGGTTCCTCTGCGACACGAAATTCTTCGCGCACACCGCGCACTTGAACAGCTTCGCCTCGTGCACGATCCGGTGCCGCTTCAGGCTGCTCTCCAGCCCGAAGCTGGCCCGACACAGGCCGCAATCGAAGCGACCTTCGGTGCGATGCTGCCGCTCGTGGTTCTCCAGGAAGCGCTCGCTGAGGAAGATCTTGCCGCAGAAGGCGCACTTGAAGGTGCGCTCCTTGTGCGTGGTCTGGTGCATCTTGAAGCTGCTCATCAGGCCGAACGAGCACCGGCACACCGGGCAGGTGAATTTCTTGTCGTCGGCGTGCTGTTGGCGGTGGTTCCGGAGGAATTTCTCGCTCTTGAGCACCTTGGCGCACACGTCGCATTCGTAGTGCTTCGTTCGGTGGGTGAGGTGGTGCTTTTTCAGGCTGCTTTTGAGGTTGAAGGTCTTGTCGCACTGGTCGCAGGAGAATTGGCGTTCGCCTGCGTGGACCGACATGTGTCTTTGGTAGCTGGTGATGCCCGTTAGGAATTTGTTGCACTGGTGGCATTTCAATTTTCGACGTCTTATCGAGACGGTTTCGTCGATTTGGGTGTCGTCGATCGAGTGGGCTTTTTCGAGCACCCGTTGGCAGATTTGTTTGCGTACGTGCACTCGTAAGGAACTGTATCTAGTGAAGGATTTGTGGCAGAGTTTGCACGAGTGTTTTTTATCCGAATTTTCATGTTTGTAGGATTTGATTTCTATTAGGTCCGGAACGTCTTCCGGCTCGCTTTCTTCTTCCGTTTTGATTAAAGGAATGTTGCTTTCGGGATCGGTTTCTTGTTTAATTTGCGTTATACTCTCACTTTCCATTGCCATATCAACTAAAATAACGAAACCGTGAAGATATTTAACATGCAAGTGGTCAGTAGAATACTGTTCGATAGAATTTATACTGAAAGTTTTGTCGAAGGTAACCTCAAATTTATTGTAAAGAAAAACCTCGACAATTGCTTAATAAATGCCTTTTGAAATTGATAATAGCACAATTAAACTAAATTAAATCAAAAATGAATAAAAATAGCAAACATTAATTACATACCTGGTTGATTATCGCCTTCATTTAAGTTTATATTAGTCTTAAATTAAAACAAACTTTATTATTACTGTTCAATTGAACTTTTTAAGTATAATTCTACACTTCAGGTACTTTTATTTACAAAATTAAAACCTATAATTCAAAATTTAGGTAAACTTTCGTACAAACTACAAATATTTATTTATTTATGCCAATAACGTCAATGTCAAAAGTCATGAAAACTGACAGTGACAGCTACACAGTTGCCACGTTGAAATGGTGTGACTAAAAGTATAAAATTATTAATTGTCCACTTGTAAATAGCCACAAATATGTAATCTAATATAAATTCTTAATGATTGTTAAAATTTAAGCATACTATTCCTTTTGAATAACGACAATAGCATAATAAGATGTTAAAAATATTTAACGAAGGGGCAACGTTGTACGATACCGTCGAATCGGTAAAAAGAGAGTTGGGAAACCATGAAGTTTGTGCATATCAGAGGAGGTGTTCCTATTTATAAGCGCAAGCCGTTCCAAATTAAATGCACGCAATTTCAAAGTAAAATATGTTAGTATTCGACAAAGAATATGCGCCATTTTGGCAAATATGACTGCCATTGAATTGAAAAATTTAAACCACGCCTACGTGGAAACGGAAGTCTAATTTTTTTCGACTTCCGGTGGATTTCAGACGACTTTTAATGGAAATCCATTGATAAATTTGTAAAAACTAACCTAAAAATAAATAAAAAAGAAGATTCGCGTCGTATTGCAAAAGAAACCCAATGGAATTCCATTCAAAAATTCTGTTATAGTACACAAAATAGTAAATTCCATATACAAACACTTGAAGTAGTAAATTCCTGACAAGGACGCTGACACATTGATAGTTTTTCTTAAAAATGGTGTACATTTGACCTCAACAGAGTTGTAAGGAAGAGTTTTAAAAGATTTTTGATTGTAAAAATAATATTAACACCTAATAATAGTAAAATACTTTGCATTAAAGATTTTTGTTATCAGCAAAAGGGTTCAAAATTTTATCATTTACCTCTATCTCACTGTATGTACAATAATAACTTACAGAATTTCATCTTTTTAACCTCGTAATAACGAATGAACACTGCGTTAGAAACAATATAAAATTTATTTTGAATAATAATCATCATCAACAAAATCATCTTTGCATCTTCGCGATTATTCCCGCAAGTACACATAAGTCACGACGCTATCAATGCCATATCTAGTTTCAAATACACTAACACTGGAGTATACGGGAGTACATTACATACATACGCGATTCTGCAGCTCTCTCTCCCATCCTATCCATATAGTATGTGTATGTACTCAACGTTTCAATATTGACTTTCCCTAAGAGCCACATGTTACAGTATATATTCCGAAGTCGATTCTGTTACATCATTAATGTAAACAAAACGTGGTGGCTGGGTAAATTTTAATTGGATCTGTTTGAGGTTTAGTTTTCGGTTGTGTACACTGCATTTCTAGAATCGTAGTTTACTAAACGGTATACTAATAGATCATTTATACATTTAGCAGGCGAATTATTTGCGCACGACTGCGTGTCGCGGATAAGGCCCGTTTTCGTTTCTCTTTTAATCGGATCTCATGCGAATTAAACCCGCGGAAATCTGTGTAAATAGCAGAATGAAAACTATGCGGAATAGCGAAAGAGTGTTCTCGAAAACATCGTCTTATCAGCAAGGAGCATTCCTTCGTAAAGAAACATGCAGATATTATTTCCAATATTAGCTGTAGGTATCTACAGTGCAAATCTTAATTAGTCCTCGAGCTCGTTATGGCCATTCAATAATCACCGTTAATGTATGATTAAGTCAAATTGTATCGTGCTGTATCAGCTACCGAGCTTTGCTGACATCGAATTTGTAGATGATGCACAAACATTTGTGCATGCATTAAAAAAAAGCGTTGTTAAATTTTATCGAATGGCAATACCACAATTTGGATCAAAACCGCTTCCTGATCAAAACCGTTTATGTCGAGTTGGTAACTAATATTAAAGCTTTAAGTACACTCACTTTGCATATCGCGTCGATTCAGTGAAATTCTGTAATGGGACGGACGGTTTAACTGGAAATATGTTATTCACACTTTGAATCCTATTAACCTTTATCACTACCTGTATTTACACCAGTGGCTAGATAAACTGGTACTTACCTCCGCAATATGCGTTACTTAACTCCTATCCCATTTAAATCTTAGGGTGAAATTTACCTCGTTTAATTATAATATTAGCAGAAAATTGAATTTATAATTACACAGTAAATGTAGTATAAATTTAAGCAGTAAAATATTACGTACCTATTATTTTTCGTTAATGTTAAGTAAAGATTAATTAATTGATAAATAATTGGTAGGGTATTTATTAATGTAAATTCGAATTTACACGGGTATTTCAGTCCGATTTCGCTCAACGACAATCATGCTGTATAGAGGGATATTTTTTCTAGCAGTAATTACTAAAAATAATCAACTAATTCGTTTACTACACTAACACCAATCTACTTCCAGGTCTCCGTCACGATGGCTTCCGCTCAAACGGACTGGCAAAGTATGTTGCCTGATATAATCAAGAACCTACTCAACTATATACCCGGTAAGAAATCAACCAAATCCACCGATCGATTTACTAATCCATGAAATTATCCAAGGAATGACCCGAAGCACCGACCTCTCTTACGAAATAGACCCTCGGCAGGCCAACATAGACGAGTACCCAGGCGAAGGGATGATGCGATCTAACGACGATTACCGCCGTATGAGACAGAGCGATTTGAACGGAGAGGACGCGGCCAAACGGGCGGAGGATTTGAGCGAGGCGGCGCGCGAACGCTTCGACAGAATGAAGGAGGAGCTGGAAGAGCTGGCCAGGAAGCGCGAAGAGGACTTGGAAGCGGCCAAAAGGCACAATGTGTTGACAGTACCTATACAGAAACGACTGGAAGAGCTGGCCAGGAAGCGCGAAGAGGACTTGGAGGCCAGAAAGCAAAATGTGTTGATAGTACCTATACAGAAACGACTGGAAGAGCTGGCCAGGAAGCGCGAAGAGGACTTGGAAGCGGCCAAAAGGCACAATGTGTTGACAGTACCAATAAATAAACGACTGGAAGAGCTGGCCAGGAAGCGCGAAGAGGACTTGGAAGCGGCCAAAAGGCACAATATGTTGACAGTACCTGTACCGAAACGGTCCGCTGCACTCAGGAGGATGAGAGATGATGTGATGATCCAAGAGCCCTATTTCGATCCCTTCAAAAGAAATGACGATTTGGAAGAGGAAATGAGATGAGCCATTCTCATGAGATTTTGTTTCATCTACTTGTTTCTGCTTCGATATAATAAATTTAATTTCAGTTATGTTTGCATTTCTTTATGAAGCATGTACCTAATTCAATAGTGTTTTAAGATAATTAACGTTTTGATTAACGAAAGAGGCAATTAAATTTCTACGACAAAAAGAATTTTGTTTCGGATTCTTGCCGTTTAATTTAGCCAACTTTACGATTTGTTATTAGGTTCGCGTAATCATTTGTATAATTTACTGTTATGCAGATAAATTATTGCCTATTATGTTTCGCTAATGTTTAGTAAAAAACCAATTAATTGATAAGCACCGGGCAATTATAAAAAAGCAATATCGAATTTTCACGAGCAGTTCCAACTGATTCGTTCTCGTCGAGCTGATACCGCAAAAGGAAATCAACATGTTCTTCAAAGAATTAGTTTTACTTACGGTAAGAATTATTTAATAATATTTTCATCACCTTTCCAAGTGGCTACAAACATTAATAGGCGCATCTAGTGGTCCCTATATAATGCTACTAGGTTTCTACCAGGTCCTTTCTATGCCCTTTACTAGAAGCTGGATTTTGCATAAACACTAAAAATTTTTTCAAGCTCTCAGTTACACTAGTATTGGCTCAAATCGATGAAGGTCTTCAAAGAGCTGCCGCCCCAATTGAAGGTTTGGCCAGAGCAGTAGACTCCCTTATACCGTCATTCAAAGGTAAGAACATTCCGTACAACTACCTAACAATCAATTCGAAAATGGCATAAATATTTATTCAGCACAACCGGCGAAACGCCAGGCGGATCTCGAAGAGATGAAGAAGCGCGCTTCATCGGTAGAAGAAGCCGCCGAAATGCGTGAATCAGAAATCGAGGAAGCGAAGAAACGGGACGTCGAGCCGCAAGGTATAGATAGGAAGAAACGCGAAGCCGGATTTGGCAGGGGATTGAGGAAGAGAGACGCTGATGATGCGGAGACTCGCGATGATAGCTTGGACAGTAAAGAGGCCAGGAAGAGGCAGCAGAGTATTGAGCCGGAAAAACGACAGGGCAGCTTAGAGGATAGTCTTGAGCAGGCTGATCCTGAGCCAATAGAGACAGAAGTAATAATTGGAGTTCCTACTAGTAACGAACAAAAATAGAAAAAACAAAAATCGAGATATTGATATAAATAACATTGCTCATATACATTTTGTTTCCTGTACTGTTTTTCTGCTGCAATATAATGAATTTAATTTCAGTTATGTTTGCGTTTCTTTATGAAGTATGTACCCAATTCAATAGTGTTTTCAAAAAAATCCAATTTAAGATAATTAACGTTTTGATTAACGAAAGAGGCAATTAAATTTCTACGACAAAACTAATTTTGTTTCGAATTCCTGCCGTTTAATTTAGCCAACTTTAGGATTTGTTATTGGTTTCGCATAATCATTTGTGTAATTTACTGTTATGCTGATAAATTATTGCCTACTATGTTCCGTTAATGTTTAGTAAAAAAACAATTAATTGATAAGCACTTGGCAATTATAAAAAGGCAATATCGAATTTTCACGAACAGTTCCAACTGATTCGTTCTCGTCGAGCTGATACCGCAGAAGGAAATCAACATGTTCTTCAAAGAATTAGTTTTACTTACGGTAAGAATTATTTTAAAAGTATATTAATTATTTAACTACGAAAGTAATGAGTAATAGGCGCATCTATATAGATCTCTAATGCTACTAGGTTTCTACCAGGTCCTTACTATCCCCTTTACTAGCTGTGTATATTAGATGCTAGATTTTGCATAAACATATATAATGTTTTTAAAGCTCTCAGTTACACTCGTATTGGCTCAAATCGATGAAAGTCTACAAAGAGCTGCAGCCCCAATTGAAGGTTTGGCCAGAGCAGTAGACTCCCTTATACCGTCATTCATAGGTAAGAACATTTCGTATAACTACCTAACAATCAATTCGAAAGTGGCATAAATATTGATTAAGGACAACCGGCGAAGCGCCAGGCGGACGATGAGGTCCAGAAGCGTCAGGAGGATCTCGAAGAGATGAAGAAGCGCGCTTCATCGGTAGAAGAAGCTGCCGAAATGCGTCAATCAGAAATCGAGGAAGCGAAGAAACGGGAAGTCGAGCCGCAAGACATGGATAGGAAGAAACGCCAAGCCGGACTGGGCAGGAGATTGAGGAAGAGAGATGCTGATGATGTGGAGACTCGCGCTGATAGCTTGGAGAGCGAAGAGGCCAGGAAGAGGCAGCAGAGTATTGAGCCGGAAAGACGGCAGGACGGCTTAGAGGAGTAAAAAAAAGTCTCTTTTTTTATTTACTATAAAGGGATTGATCTGTTTTGAGATACAATTCTACAAGTCATTAGTTGCATAGTATTTTTGTTGTTAGGCTTAAAAGTTGATAGAAACAAACCTAAAGTTTGTTGTAAACTGGCGAATTTTTAGTTAGTATTAAAGAGAATATTTTAATTCGTAAAATTACCAATTTACAATAATTCCCTTTGTTTGCAAAATGTTTCAAATGTATTATTTCCTCCATATTTATCATAAAACCAAAAACATACAACTGTAAATAAGCATTTTGCATTCGTATCTACTTATTATTTGTTATTTTGTTTCAGCTTTGGTAATTACGAGATTTAATTTTAATTAAATCGCGACGCCAAACGATTCGAAGCCACGCTAAACATCACCAGGAAAATCCAATAATTGTTTAAAATAAATTTCGTTTGTTACAAATTAAAAAGCTGGTTTTATTTTCGCAAAAATTTTGCTCATTAAAATGATTTATTGACGATTTCTTGTTCATATTCTATTAAAATTTAACTGCGTTTAGGTGGAAAAACGGACGCGGAATTAATCCGAACGGATTAAATTCACTCTTGCAATCTTAATATGTTCCGCAAGTGTATGCATGTATTTTTATAAATGTGTAGTTTTTCATAGACAAAAAATTGTTGGGAAGACATTTAATGTTTTGGTCATTACGGTAAAACGAACTTAAATTATTCAGGAAGAATGAAGAACGAATTAAGATTTTTTTCTTTAGTAGAAATGTTAGTTGATCATAAAGAAAAATATTTTTTGGTTAGTGGGAGGTATTTAAACGATATTTATTCTCAGCATACAATTATTCAAGAAAACAGTAGTAAAGGGAACTAAAAAATATTGTCAATTCAAATAAAATGAATTACAAATTTTGAGCAAATAATGTTACAGGAGATGTCTTAATTACATTTGTAATTAAATATTAAATATTAATTCATTGCAACATAAATTATTCAAATTCATTTTCAAGAAGATTTGTAAAAAATAAACGATTAATTTTATACCAATTTTTAAGCGAAGTATTGTGTTTAATTAACGACCGTTTCTTTAAATGAAATTTAATAACAAAATTTAATTATTTTATTAAACAGCGTCTATAAATGAAAATTTTTCAAACATTATTTAGTCACCTACTAAATATGGTTGCGATGAAAGAGATCTTGCTCTTCGCCACAATTTCGGTAAGTAAATTTTAATTCGAAAAATTACCCTATTCGTCGACTCACCCTGTATAATCAAAGGAAATCTTATAGGCTTGTATATTTTTAACCGTTACTGCAAAACCATCTCCAGAAGCGAAGAAGGTTGATAAAGTTTCACTGAGATTAGGACCTTTAGAAGAAGCAGATATAGGTAAATCATTATTACTTTTCTAATACACATAGATTCATCGTTTGTCATAATAATTTCTGTATTTTATTTCGTTGATAAATACTATAGAGGCTGAGCTTAGACAATTCATACTGCCAAATTCTAAGTACGGCGGGCGGCGGCAAGATTTAACAGAATTTAATTAAGCTCATCGAAAAAATTCAATGAGATCCCGATGCCCCAACAAGGAAATAACAAGACTAGGCGATGAAGAAAATTTTTTGTAATTGTGAACATGCATTTTTAATAAAGACCAATTACTAATACATCATGTTGAGTGCTAATATTCGTCACCTGAAAAATTGCATGTTTAATGAGAAGATTTGTTAAATATAAAATTATCTACTCATCGATTCCTCCAGTTCTGATTGTCTCATTCTCATGGTTTCCTCCAATTTTCTCATGCGAATTTCCGGATCCATAGTATCAAGAGATAATGCGCAATCTAGCATTAGCAAACACACCCCTAGCTAAAATAAATATCCAAATTTCCCAACCAATTTCAAAATCGACAAAAATAACTTACTAAAACAATCACCATGAAAATCCGCTTCATATTTACACCAATAATCATTTAATTGTTATTGTAACATTTCGTTTAAATATACTCTTCGAAGTTACGATGGTATTGTTGTGCATTTTATTTTTCGCATACAATAGCGAATTAAAAGTTTAATGATGCAATTTCGGCGTTTAGAAAATGTTGATACACTCGGTCCATTTTTAAAACAAATTTTTCCACCGCAGCGAGTCGGTTATTGTCGGCCCCACAAGGATAATGCGGCGCCTGCTCGTCCCCCCGGGCTCCGGCATATTCATGCATCTGATAAAATTTCAATATAGTCCGAGCGGGCCGTTTCACGTCGCTCTTCGCGCCAGCATCCCCCCGACTCCGGCTCGCAGGAGCTGACAAGACAACAATGACTCCCCCCATCCGTTATTCGCCCGTACAAAAGCTACCCGGCGATATTGGAAATGGAATATTTCGCTTCGATACACTCTTTCATGCAGCCGAATGTAAATAAGGGATGTAACTGATGCAAAGGTTGGCCGGATTAAAACGCAGAATTAGCTTTCCGGTTACCGATGATAGTCAAGGCAATCTTCTTCGCATCTTCGACTATCTTCTAATCGAATTCTTCGCCTTTTCTCTTGCAGTAAATTTCTTTTTGGGGGGTAATTATAGCAGCTGTTCAAAAGTAATTTTCTGAAGGTGCAAATTGTTGAAAAATTAGGGAAAATATGGGGGAAATTTTCCCGATCTATTCCAAAAAGTATGCGGTTTCCGGCATGTGTTCGCAGGCGGTGAAAATTCGCACGGAGACTTGGTTAATACTTAATTTGCTTTTTGTTTCGAGAAACTGTTCCAGAAAAAAAAGAAACTTCGTTAAGAGGCAGCGAACTAGGGAAATTACCGAGAAAGTTTTCGGTTAAAAGCACTGTGTATGTGCATGTGAAGCGAGAAAATTGCAACAAATAACTTAATAAAAGCGAAAAAACCAATACTTTATAATATGTACATACATAAGTATTAAAGTATTCTAGAACGTGTAGTTTAGTTTGATAGAAATGTATTAGTAATTACAGTGTGTATAAGTTGTAAAAAATAAGAAGTTTACGTCTAGTTTTAACATCTCCATTTCAATTTGAAACCCTGTAATTACGAGCCGAGAATTATTCCACCCACTGGCCCACACAAAGAACGATTTTATTACACGAAGTTCCTCATCTCGCGTTATTTCGTGACCGAAACCGTGTGTGAAACGAGATGCGTTCGGTAATTTATTTTTTTCGAATCGATTAAACGTTTGCGTTTCGTATTTGTTCGCGGGCTTTATTGGAAAGCCGCGTCAAAGCGGTCGGAAAATTGAATTTTCATTGCGATTATTACGGCATTAATCAAACCGATTTCCGTTCGATATTATTTTCATTTGGACGGTTAATTGGCTAATTTCGTAACCGGAATGCCGGTATTAAAACCGAACCAAGTCGGCCGGCAAATTCGGCTCGAAAACGACGATTTTAAACGCCCCGTAAAATAGTTTAATAGCCCTCGAATTAGACCCCCTACGCAAGCTGGCGGTGATAAATTTAATGTGCTGTCGTCTCTCCTAAATAGGTATTTACACGTGTTGATGCATATATCAAAAAACGACGTGTTAATGTAAGAGGCTCAATATCGTTTTCACCCCCTTTATCCCATTTTTTTTTAGCTAAAACCGCTCGAAATAACAGCAATATTAAATCGTTTGAAACAAAACGAATTGTCCCTATTACCCGATAAATAATAAATGAGGAAATGAATTACTCTTCAACTCGATAAATCGTCGGATTTCCTTTCTATAAGTAAATTACCTTTCATCTGGAATTCCGTCGCAAATTCTTCGACACACAGAAAAAGAAAACCATCGAATTTAAGGGAGGATTTCAGTTGTAAAAGGACCTGTTAGCTTTGTATGCACATTATCCGGGAACGTGGCTTTAATGTGAGCTAGTTGCGCCCTCAGGTATAATGAAGAGGGATGTTATATTCGGCGAGAGGGAAATGGAAAAGAGAAACTGAAATTACGTTCTTTTAGTTCGGGAATTACATTAGTCGACTATTATGAGGCTTTTAATGTCGCTCTCTTTCCCTCCCGTCTATCATTTAATTCGCCACGACCGAGGATAGTGTACGAGCAGAGGATTGCTCACGTAAATGATACTTGAACTGACAGCTGTAATTTGAAATCGTTCGCTCGAATTCGAGCCGCTCTAATATGATGTGTTTCAATACACTATACATAGATAATAGAGAGATTGAATTCAAGTATAATACGTATAATGCACGGTCGTTTTCTATTCGCCTTGAACTCGCTATAGGGTGGATCTAAACCCCAAATCGCACAAGTCACCTTATATTCGACGTTAATATTTCAAACGTAACCCGAAGAGAGTTGAAAACGTATCCTAGGCAGGGCGGCCGCCATCTGTAATTAGGATCAGTCCCTTTGGCATTCGTACGCCCTTTTCTCGCTTCGCGTCTCTCAAGCATTCGCCATATAATGACGAACTACCTTCAAATTATCTAATTCCGTTGATTAGACTATATTCCCCATCAGGTACGAGTCGATGTTCGGATGAATAATGAAGTGGCTCAGCGAACTTCCTAAATTTAACAGCTTCGATCGTAAACTTTCGACTAATAGAAGCCGGAAAAATGATACTCATTTTATATGACGTCACGTATGTAGAGTTAAGAGATATCCTTTAGAATTTATGCTAACCTTGTGGCAACTTTTCATAATCCGGCAAACTTTCGCTAACTTTTAACAAAATAGATACTGCACTCTTTTGTAGAAAATCGAGAAAATGATAACCGGCTAAACACCGGGCATCGTTAATCATTCGCCTTCTTTTCATGCATAATTCAATACAATTTCCGAGTCCCGCTCGAACGGAATTTTCCTCTTCGACGGCAAAAAATAATGGAAAGAGCATCGAAAACGGGGATATATTAAAAACTCGCAGAGGCTCCCTCGTAGTGTGTACATACGAGGCGATCGCGAAATTCGCTCACCCTCTGCGAAAATATCTGACCGTATATGGGACTTAATAACGTAAGTTGACGGAGGATAACCCGCGAAATGAAAGACGTCCTGACCCTCCCGCGAGGATTTGGGGGGACCGCAACCCCTGCGTGGGGAAGTTCAATTCGACGTAGTTAACCTCTCGATTGCGGGGCGGACGAGCCGGTCGTTGTTTAACGAAAAAATTGTCGCTAATTGCGAATCGGGAACGGACGAAGCCAGGAAGAATCCTTAGACGCGTCGTAAATATTTCTACCGGAGGGTTAACTTTCGCATTTCAAGGGTCGTCGCCCTGACAGGCAACATTTGTAACCGCCGAGGTCTATTTCTTTCTTTCCGACGTAAATAGAGGTCTATAAAAAAGACGCGGCCTATCACATATTGCTCGCATAACCGTAAAATATGTATTGTATAAATATAGGTATACTTATTATACGTCGGAGGGAAGGGTGTTTTCTCGTCCGAAAGATGTTATAGCTGCGATAAAACCACCACGCAATATCGCCGACGGATATCAGGTGGCGGGTTGCCATTCAAAACATATGCTTATCATACGAGTTAGAGGGGTCGATGGGCTATCGGTTTCTCAAAAAACGCATTATAATCGAATGAAAATTCCTCGGAGGAAAACGAACCGCTACAATTTACTAATTAATTAACCGCGGCTTTGGCCCTTTGTCGATCGTTTATGCTGTTAAAAACACAAAAGCATACCTCGAATTGACTCGAAATACCTGCTTGTAGCGTTGGTGTGCATAGCGAGAGCATCAAGTGTGTTATTGTTATTACGTTGCTCCCCTATATTTATTTTGCCCGAGTTTGTTTATCTCCCCGCAGAGGGCGAAAGGGTGGGTATAATGTTTGCATAATTTTAATACGAAATATTTCATATTATTATTTTACACATCTATAGATCGACAGGAATAGCTGAAGACTCGACATGTGCAAACATTACTCAACAATATTATATAGAGTTCTTTTAATTCGATTTCAGTTAGCTTTAGTTATTTTTATATTAAGTAGATACTTGTAATATGTTTTGAATAATAGTTATCGACTAGCACTTACCGAAGGAGTTGCATTCGGCCGTCCGTCGTCGAAATTGAAATTTCCACGTCGAATGAAAGTTTTCATCTGGAAGTAATAAAATTCTAAATTAAGACGGGGCGAGAACGGGCGAGAGGTGGGGACTTTACGTGCCAATTTGTTCAATTACGATATCTGCCTTTTATGTTAAATTGGCTGTGATGTCGTTTCTTCTAGTGCACATTCTCGTTAAAATTTTAATGAGGCGCACAACAAAAATCGTTAGCTTAATGACGTAATTTCGTCGTCGACGGCGATATTTATGTAATTGTTTCCTTTTTCGAATATTAATGCGAATTTCTTAATAAAGATTCTGCGAGGTTAATTAAATATTTGCGTAAGGACGCAATGGAGTAATATCAATTAAATCGAAATTACTCTATAGGGACTAGATTGCACCCTCGTGGAGTTCAACGAGAATCCACCCCGTTGCAATTCAACCCTTTCCTAAATGTGATTTTGATAATGTTTTTATTGGATTACCCAATGTTATCCAGATGAATTTACTTCTTGAATTTTTTATTAACAAATATAGCGGAAAGATTAAAGAGAAAAAAACGAATAGAAGAAGGCCATACCAATGTAATTAATTGCTGTTATTTGCAAAATTATAATTAACAAGTTAAAGCACACTAAAAATAACAAAAATAGGCTAAACATGATAGAGGCAAAAAATTATACATTGAAATCAATATCAATCTTATAGAATCCAAGCTTGATCTGAGCTGTATCTAAGCTTCCCTGCATTTCTCCTTATATAAAAAAACTAATATTGTGTAAATCACATGAGTTCCTAATGTTATACATGCATTTCCAACCCCTCGAACCTTGCTGGTAAATAATTTTCTTTCGAAATATCCACGGCCATATGCGGGGGTTTTTAAGCCGTTTCGGAAATCCGTGGAAGGCCGTAAAATTGCGTGCGTACATTAAGAGAAAAG